CCAGAAAGTTTTGAACGTCTGTGGACAGAATTCAAAGCAGGGGAGCACCACAGGAGCACATCTGCCTCAATGAGGAGGGAGTGAGGGTTAGGGAAAGGTTCTTGTGAAACCTCTCAAGCCCAGAGATTTGGAGCCCCAGGTGTGAGCACGTGTGTCAAACAACAACTGAATAAAACCCACCTTAGCGTATCCTGTAAAAGCACTTTCTCCTCCTCTGAGCACTGCTGTACTTTCTGTAGCTCTGTTTTTAAAGTTCCTGCTAAATTCTCTCTGCATACTTAGCGTGCAGATGATTTAGCTCTTTGCTGGCACCAGCCACGGTATCCTGAGCTTCTTTCAGGTTTTGCCTTACGGCACAAATCAATCAGGATACCAGTGATATGTCCTTCAAGACTGCAGGTTTTAATTGCAAGAGATAGAAGCTCCACAACATTCCACACTCTCTGGGATAAGTGCCAAATCTTCATTCCTCATTTGTGACCTGATCTCTGTAAACGGTTTTCAGATGTGGTTATGCTAATTCTGTCTCATGTAGTTATTTTAAATATATTGTGCCAAACTAAATAAGGGGGAATGAAGAGTGTGTTGTTGTTGCTTTATTTTTTTCTAATTATTTCCAAGAGATCTTAGCGCACCAGATTGTGATTTTAAAACAAACAAAATATTAAAAGTAGAGATCAAGACAACAAACCCATTCCATGGACAAATCACAGGAAAGTGAGGTTTAAGTTTGGATATTTGAAATAAAGATTGAGTTATAAAATGCAGACTTTCTCACAGTTGTCTTCTATTTCCTTTTGTGAAGAGAAGTTGTCAGGTCCAGTCCATGGCCATGTGCTCTGTGTCTTCTTTTAGAGTTTCATATAAGGCTTGGCTTTTATCTGCTGCTTCACTTGAGTGCAATTCTAGTTTTTTGTTTGAACTCCTGTACCTGTTGCTCCTGTTCTTTCAAAAGTGATTGTGCCTGATGCCTCCAATGTAATGCATTATTTAATTCTCCTACACTGTCAACCCTCTCACAGGGTGATGAATTTTTGCTGAAGCCTATTTAATTGCTCTTGCAGGCTCTGGGCTTTGTCAGCTTCTTTTTTCCATCTTACTGGAATTCTATTTGAATGTTGCAAGATGTAGGTGCAGTGAGTGGTATTCCATCTGCGCTGCATGAAGCCTTCTTGTAAATTCAAATATTGCCTTCTACAAGGATGCTTTGTTTTTCATACTGGACAGTCTTTCACACAATCCACATCCCAGACAAGGACTCTTTCTCCAGATCAGTGGTGCACTTGCTGTGGGCTAGTGGAAGTGACTAGTGGAACATTTTTACTTTCAGCTTGTCCATAATTTCTGAAAAGGAGTTTCTGGCTGCACCTATTTTTAAATGTCCACAAAGCCAGGACTTTGGTTTTTAAACAACATTCTGCTGTTCAGTCATGGAACTGATTATTGCAGCACGGAAATTAACTAGGAAATCAGCTGAGTGCTTCAAAGCTGTCAACTCCTTCATTTCCACAAACTGGCAGATGATGCCTGTGTTTGGATTCTCCTACACACATTCAAAATCCAGTGCCTCCTTTTAAGCCTTTTGTCCAGGTGAAAAGGGAGCAAGAAGACTGGGCTAAAGCTTTAAGCCATTTAGTTGCTAAAACTGCAATCACAGCTCCTTGGAACACATAAACCAGGCCTTTGGTTCTTCTTTTCCTCAGCCTTGTTTTGTCATGTTTGTTTTCCTCATCAGCAGGGACAGCATTAATTAGGCTCCTGCTTTTCTGTTCCACTGGTTTGTGGATGTTGACCTGGTCATGGAGAGAGCCTCTTTAGGAAGACATAAGCACACAGTAGAGAGGACACAGCCATACCATGCTCCTTCTTGCCCACGCATACTCGTGGCATTCTCGAAATCCTTTTTAAAATTGCCTGCTAATGTCCTGGAGGTTGCCTCAAGTTCATAAGTAAGAAGAATTAGAAGCTTATGGTAGTTTTCTATCCATGGAGAGAAATAAAAAATGCCACCATTAAGCAAAGCTGCAAATAAGGAAGAATAAAATAAAGAGCAACTGCCCGGCCACTGTTGCATACCAAATATGTGAGATTTGTTTGCACAGCAAGACCCAGCTACTGAAGATTTGGAAGTCAGCAGATCTGTTTGGGCAGCTCACTGTTACTCTGGAGCCCAGCAATCACATGCCCTGACTATCATGGATATCCTTTAGAAAGAAAACATGCCCGAAAAAGGAATTTTCTTCCAGAGGCCACTCTGAATTTGGCAGGAATAAGATGGTTTGTTTTGTTCTGAGCCAGTTAGCTGGTGGGAAGAGAAATCCTCATGAAAGCATGGTAGTTATAAATTGGACAATTAGAACTGATCCTAGGAAGCTGGGTTTTGAAGCATTCAGCAGTTTACTCTCCATTCACCAGCTCCTGAGGCATGGACAGTGCAAAATGAGAGACAGGCGGAGAATTGGGACAGAGAGGTTGGAGATTTTGGGGTTGTTACACCAAGCAGAAAATACTGGAGAGGTTTTAGCCTTAAACCCTGGTGCTGTGAGCAAAACCTCTTACTTAATAACCCCATTATTCTCTGTTGCTTTTGGGGATTAAACCTCTGTTGCAGCCAAGGACTTTAGAGACATTTAACCCTGACTTCAATCTCCCCTGGTGCATGTGGGGAAAGGGGCTGCTAAAAAACCTGCTCTGCCTGCTAGCCTGCTGTCATCACTGCACAGGTGCTGGTATGGGAGAAGATGCCTTTGGGTTTGATCTCATCAGCCAGATTTTCAGCTGAAAAAAGGCAGCTTAAACATCACTGATAGCTGCTGAAATTCAAGATGCAGGGTTTTTTAAGGTGTAAGAAAATTGTATAAGTCTTTTGTTAGAAAATAATTAATCTCTCTCTGACTTGAAATATGTATCTCCTGTGGGATACAAGCAGAGCTCTAAAGAGCATGAGTTTTTCCAATACATGATCTCCTTTCTTGCCTTCCTTGTCCAGCATCCTATGCAGCTGATTTTACTTTGGGTTTATCCAGGGGCTTTTTCATCTCTTTCATTGGTCTGGTAGTTATGCTTTGAGCATCTCTGGGGAATAAGAGCTCCAATTTGTTCTCCAAAGTGTTTCACCTGGTCCAGCACATCTACAGGTGAGCCTGCTTTGGGGTGATGCCTGAACTCCTCCCACCAAGACCATCCAGGTCCATCAGGAGCTTGGTGCACCAAAATCCAGTCTCCAGTAGTGCCTGAACCAGGTCCCTGAGGACCAGCTCTACTGATTCCAAAGGGCTGGGATGAGGGGCTCAAAGCCCACTCACAAGGCCTGGGGCCACAGGAGAATCCCTCTGAGCAAATCTGCTTGGAGCTGCCAGGACTGAGCCTTGCAGGTGACACAGGCACTGAGAGCACCTGGAATACAGCCCAGGGAAACACTGCAACTGCAATCTTCCTCTCATGAGAGAGAGAGTAGGGGTAGGGGGAAAAAGGAGAGGACTCTCTGGAGTCAAAGATCGAATTCTCATAAAAGTATTATCAATGCTCCTTTATTGTTAGGTTCAGGGTACATTTATATGGTTATCCAGAGTTCAAGCAACATGGGAAAGTATCTGATTTGTTAACAAAGCATTGTGCATAAAACAAAGAGCATTTCTTAAACATATCTTGGTCACGTAGCTCAGTTTGTCAGCAGTATCAGCAGAACATCTTCACGTCCTCTGCTAGCATCTTCAGACCATGTTCTTTCACATCCTCTTCCCTGCGATGCAGTTGGCAAACTTCCTCATGAAAGAGAGTAGGGGTAGGGGGAAAAAGGAGAAGGGCAGAATGCTTCTGCTATCAGGCATGTACACAGGGTGTTTGCAAGCATGCTTCTAAATCCACAGAATGTCCATTGTTCTGCCTGCAGGGTTGTGCTTATAGGTCACAGCGTCTGCCCAAAATGCTCTCTGACATTGTGTATATAGATGTAGTATATAGATGATAAATTGACTTGTAGTATATATACTACTGACATGTAGTATATAGATGATAAATTACATATATAATCAATTCATATGTGCTGTGTGATACATTTTATTTTGATACATATTTTTATTTCATATAGATTTGATATATTCTTCCAGCCTGGGAGAGTGAAGATGTACTGCAGTCCAAAACCTTCTGCCCCAATTCTATGTTTCTGTTCCAGTCAGAGGATGGAGGCTGTGGTCTACTCTGCAGTGTGGGAAGGAGCCCTGGGAGATGGCCTGATCTGGGAGGGCAGCAAACACAAATTCCCCAAAAACTAGGAAAAGATTCTCTGGAAGCAATAAATTATGGCACTATTTCTGCAGGAAAGAAAAAGAAAAAAAAATAACTGGAGTATTTAAAAAAGTTCCCAGAATGAAATTTGTGCCCCAATTTGACAGCCCCAAAGTATCTGTGGAGTGTCAGGAAGCTCAGGAATGAACCTGCAGGGCTTGGATAAACATCATTGGTGTGCGTCCCCCAGAGCACAAGCAGCTCCCCAACAAGACTTCAAGGCTGAGGGACAAAGCTTCCCCCTTCAGCTCTCCACAGCAGCTCTAGGGAGTCTCTCTCCATTGCAAGGTCTCCTTTGTCAGTCTATAATGACAAGAGCTGGCTGCAGGAGGCATTTGTATTAGAACTGTCTCTAGATGGGGGGAAGAAAAAGAAGAAGTAATTCCTAAGGAAAGAAAAAGGCAATGCCATTTGGGAAGGCACCAGCATGAGTTCGCTACAACTCCAGGCCAAAAATCCATTGAATAAAGCAACATCCATCCACAGGCCAGCACTTTAGCTTGGATGGCAATGCTGACAAACCTGCTGCCCCTTCCTGCTGCTGCAGCTGACTCCAAATCACGAGAAATGTGCCAACTCTGCCAAAGACAGGCAGACATGGCGAGATAAAAAGAGCCAGTCTGCTGAAAAGGAGACCAAATGAATGTTTTTAATGCCCCCTTTTCATCCTTTCCCCAGCCAAGCCAGAGCAATGTCCTTTCTCTCTGTCACCGATGGTGACCCAGGGATGCAGTGTGGGGACAGAGCCCGCCCTGGGCAGGAGTGGCTTCTTGCTCTGGAGGGCTCCCAGTGCCCTGCCCTGCCCTTTCCTGCCTGTCGTGCTGATTTATTAAAAAAATATGGATATTGAGTACCTGTATCCAACTGTGATGGACACAGACGCTCTAACAGCTTAAAACTAGAAAGTGTATGTTTATTGCCACACCGGGCAGCGTGTGGAATAGCTCCCAAATACACACCACACTTTACAGGTGATCTCAGAGCCTTTTTATCTATACAAGTCTTGAATAACCAAAATACAAATGCATATTCATAATTTTGGTACATCCCATTCCCCACTTTGTATGCTAATTAGTCAAAAAGCTATTAAGCATGCGTAGTTTGTTCCTTGAAATGGGCCAATGGTCCCTTTCATGGGAAGGAGACCCAAAAAGAGGAAGTAAATGAAGTCTTCCTCGTTCTGACCACCCTTCTACCTTTTCAATGCAAATATGACAAATGAACCCTTGGTAGAACTCCCATTCCCTGTCTTCAATTGGTTTCAGAGGCCCCACAACTGTCTTATGTTACTAAAACCTATTTGTCAGTTTCTACACTCTTCATTATAAATCCAGCTAACCCAACATTGTGTTGAAGAGCAATCAATTATTAGTTACCTACTAACTCTTAGCTTCATCAAGGCCCACCAATTCATTTTAATTAACTCCAATAAAGCTTATATTTAAGTAAAATCTTAGCACCTCTAAAGTGTGTAAATTACTCCAAGTTTGTGTTTCAGTGCCATGCCGGGCGCTGCCCTTCCGTGCTGCCCGGGCGCCCGCCCAGCGGCTTCCTGCTGCTGCAGCGGGAGCGGACGCTGCCGGACGGGCGGGAGCTGCGCAGCCCCCGGCCCGGCCGCCTCCAGCAGCGCCCCGCGGAGCGGCCGCTGCTCGCCCGGCGCCCGCCCTGCAGCTTCCACCTGCTGCACCGCGACCGGCCGGTGCCGGCCCGGCGGGAGGGGCCGAGCCGCTTCCAGGAGCTGTACGGGGAGCGGCCGCCGCCCGCCCAGCGGGAGGTGCTGGGGATCCCGCCCTGCGAACTGCTCGGGCTCCACGGGGAGCCGCTGCTGCCGCTCGGGCGGGAGGGACCCCCCAGCCGCTTGCAGGAGCTGTACGGGGGGCAGCTGCCTCCTCTCGACCGGGAGGTGCTCCGGCTCCAGCCCTGCAGCTTCCAGCAGCTGCACAGGGAGCAGCAGCCCCAGCCCCCGGCTTTTGACCCACGAGGTAGGAAAAGAGTTGTAGCCTTGGTTTTCCAAAACATAATTATAAGTGACCGTTTGAAGTATTTTTCCACAAGGCTCTGTCATTCTCAGCCAGCAATTGTCAAGCCTATTAGGAAGGGGAACCTAGAAGGCCAAAAAATTCTCTGCCTTTTTTTTCCTGCTTGCTGCCTGTGATGTTTGATCGAAGGCAGCAATAGAGCTCTGTATCCCAGAGCCACATTATGGAGCCTGACCAATGTGTTTGGATTCTTGCAGCCACCCCAGGCACTTCAGCATCCAGTGCTCCACCTGGCACTGCTGGTGCAGCATTAACAGCCTCCAGCTCAGCCCGAAACACACCTGAGGAAGAGCAGTCACCAGCAGTGGATCTTGCCTTTGCTGTGGAGCAAATGATCCGGGAGATCAGGAGATCCCTATCTGAAAGGTCTCCCTCTGCTCAGGTAACTCCATTGGAGGGGAAAGGAAGAGGCTGGGCTTACATGGAGAAGAAGAGAAACTTGCGTCCCTGATGTGATTCCAAGAAAATACCAAATGATCTTGAGTTTTCTTTCTTTCCATTGTTCTTTCAAGGGCAATATTAATGCTGTGCCTGAGTCTTCAGGAGGCGAGCCTGTGGACAGAGCTGCAGCAGAGGAAGCCTCATCTGGCACCGAGAGCTGCAGGAACAGTTCCCCAGAGCCCGAGGAGCCTGGTAAGGACAGAGTCCCCCTTGGTTTAGAGAGGTGTAAGGTGGCTGCTCCGAGCCTGCCTCTGGCAGCAAGGGAGATAAGCAGAGTTGAGCTCCTGTCTGCAGGGCTGGTGCTTCCTGGTGCCTTTAGCTCAAATCCTGCACTGGCACAACCTCCCCGAGCCCTGCCCTCCACGCTTCTCCAGAGGCTCTGACACTGAGTCCTCTGCTGTGGCAAGGGAGCAGGGAATAAAGCTGACCTTGTGGGAGTTGTGTCACCAAGCTGAGTGTCCCAGTTTGGTTCATAACTCAGCTCCCAGCAGCCTTCAGCTTCAGCCATTTCAGTGGGGACTGAAGTCTCTCTGTCACTGAGACTGTCTGTGTTTCAAGCTCAAGACTTTGCTGAGGCTTTATCAGGATACTTAAATACTTGACACAGTTCCGTTTTGAATACTTGGAAGGATCCCTGTTCTTTAAAGAGCAGACTTCCCCGGCGCCCGCCCTGCAGCTTCCACCTGCTGCACCGCGACCGGCCGGTGCCGGCCCGGCGGGAGGGGCCGAGCCGCTTCCAGGAGCTGTACGGGGAGCGGCCGCCACCCGCCCAGCGGGAGGTGCTGGGGATCCCGCCCTGCGAACTGCTCGGGCTCCACGGGGAGCCGCTGCTGCCGCTCGGGCGGGAGGGACCCCCCAGCCGCTTGCAGGAGCTGTACGGGGGGCAGCTGCCTCCTCTCGACCGGGAGGTGCTCCGGCTCCAGCCCTGCAGCTTCCAGCAGCTGCACAGGGAGCAGCAGCCCCCGGCCTTCGACCCACGAGGTAGGAAAAGAGTTGTAGCCTTGTTTTTCCAAAACATAATTACAAGTGACCGTTTGAAGTATTTTTCCACAAGGCTCTGTCATTCTCAGCCAGAAGTTGTAAAGCCTATTAGGAAGGGGAACCTAGAAAGCCAAAAGATTCTCGCCTGGTTTTCCTGCATGCTTCCTGTGATGGTTGATCCAAGGCAGCAGTAGAGATCTATGTCCCAGAGCCACATTGTGGAGCCTGACCAATGTGTTTGGATTCTTGCAGCCACCCCGGGCACATCTGCACCCAGCGCTCCAGCTGGCAGTGCTGCTTGTGCAGCATCGATGGCCTCCAGCTCAGCCCAGAACACACCTGAGGATGAGCAGTCACCAGCAGTGGATCTTGGCTTTGCCGTAGAGCAAATGATCTGAAAGGTCAGGAGATCCCTATCTGAAAGGTCTCCCTCTGCTCAGGTAAGCCCATTGGAGGGGAAGGGAAGAGGCTGGGCTGAGACCTTATGGAGGTTGTTACATGGAGAAGGAGCGTAACTGTATTCCTGTGATGTGATTCCAAAAAATACTGAATGAACTTTAGTTTTCTTTCTTTCCATTGTTCTTTCAAGGGCAATATTAATGTTGTGCCTGAGTCTTCAGAAGGCGAGCCTGTGGACAGAGCTGCAGCAGAGGAAGCCTCATCTGGCACTGAGAGCTGCAGGAACAGTTCCCCAGAGCCCGAGGAGCCTGGTAAGGACAGAGCCCCCCTTTTGGTTTTAGAGGTTTATTGTTATGGCTTTAGATGTGTTGTTATAGTTATAGATGTGCACAGTTGCACTTATACCTGTGTATAGTTACATTTACATATATACATTTGTAAATGCCTATTTAATTTGTATATCGGGGTTTAGACACATAGATTGATATCTGTATACACCACTTTTTAACCTCTTGCCCTGTTCTGCTTCCTCGCTCACCTCTGGCTTTTCCCCCTGTGCCCCCTGTGTCCCCTCTCCCTGGGCTGGGTCCGAGCTGGCGGCCGGGCCGGGCGCAGCAGCAGTTCCAGCCCCCTGTGTCCCTGGAGCGGTGGGAGCTGCCGGTGGCCCCAGGCACTGTCCCCTGAGGAGCTGCTGCAGAGGCATTGCTCTCCGATTATTTCAGATCTCAGGTTCCATATCTCTTCTTCCTGTCTATTATCTGGTCCAAGTCCTTCCCTGTCTAGAATTCTAAGTACATTCTGTGAACTCAAAGGGATCCCTTCCCATGACCAAACTTCTACCATACGAGTGTCCCCACAAATCCAACAATTAGATATGTTAAACTCATTATTTATTTTCTCTGCTAAACCTAGGAATAGATTTTTCTCTCCTAGAATCTGGATCTCTGCCCCCTTCTTGA